TTCCCCCACCTCCTTCGGCCAGTGGGAAACAAAACTGAACAAGAAACATGACACAGCAGCTTCACACACTTCTCTCCCTGCTGGCCTCATTTTTAATGTTTTAATTTCCTTGTAGCTGTGCGCAATGTCAAAGGATCTCAGAGGCAATGTGCTGCCTGGGAACCATTATTTGGGCACTCCTATTTTAAAGCAAGCAGTCAAACTCACAGACCTTCCCGGTATCCCTCCCTGTATTATCCCCAGAAAGCAGAACGATTGCGTTGTTTTTTCTGAGCGTGAACCTCTGAGCACAAACAAGTACTACAGCACTGACTCAGGACCTGCTTCTGCTGAACGCTCGAGGGTCTGATTTCTGGTCATCCGTCATGCGATATGCATATGGGCTATGACTTAGCAGAGATATTACTAATATTATACCGAGTCAGTCATCAGCATGCACATGACAGGGCCTGGCTCTGCTCTCTCCTGGAACCCCTACAGTCCCATGCTTCGGCATCTATCTCCTGAGTAAGAGGCATAAGTACACGTGGACAGCGCTTACCCCAGTCAAAACTCAAAGACGCGTATGCTGTTACCGTGAAAGAGGTTTATGAGCAATCACTCAAAAGGAAGTGATCATTTTTTCACTGGATCTCTTGTTCAGCAGTAATTTTCTCTCCTTGCCTAACTGTTTGATGAAATGTTTCCCTTCATGAACAGAGTTAGTCAAAATAGCTATATGTACAGCAGCACAGATATTTTGAGGCACTGTTTTTTCCTCCACAGAAAGCTTTCACATGTCCCCATTTAACAAAGACAATAGAAAATTACGTGGATAAATACAATTTTTACAATGCCTCATAATTTGCTAGTGGCAAACATATTTACAGCATATAAATATGCTAGACTTTGAGCATGTAACAGTAGTATGTTTAAAGGACAGAATAATAAATTCTGCAGTGCAGTACAGTCTATGTGTAAAGAATACATATGGCCTCCATATGATTCGAAACTGAATTCAGCATGGGCAGTAGTATCAAAAATCAAGGACAAATCCATTTATTTCAGTTTGATGCTAAAAAATAACATGTAACAGCACATTGTAAACCAAAGAAGACTTCTCCCTGAGTGTGAGAATAGATTAAATTATCAGTCATGAATAGAACTGCTAGGTCCACCAATACTGTGAATCCTCCCCCTAAAACACTTTTCTATTGATTTGTGGTAGTAGGATTTGGGACTTCCCGACACATTCTGCTAGTATTGCCAATCTGATTGGACTCCTGAGCTATCTAGAAAATTAAAACATTAGGCTCTGCCTGTCCATAAATAACTTCAAGTTTGCTTTTATATGATGCCTTCCTGGCCAAGATCTTAGAAGGCACCATAGACTGTAATAATTGTGTAACTCCCATTTTATTCTTGAACTTATTTTCACAGAACCAGAAGCTCTAGTCTAACTAATTCATTGCAGAAGCTTTGGGTGTTGCACTCCTCTGCTTTAAGCTAGCCTGTACTCCAAGCACTGCAGCGCGACTGCTTTTCTTTGTCTCACTGGCACTTTTTCAGAGGGTTGTTTCTGTTACCAGTTTGTGGATCTGGAGCCCTGCCATCCAATTGTCCTCACACTCAACAAGCTGATGCTGACATGGGAGATACTCTCAAAATTACAGGTTTCTGGGATCTACACTTTTCTTTTGTGAAAGAAATGTCATGCACACACAAATACCCACCATTCCCATGATTCAAGTATAATATCCTTCTCCTTTTAAAACAGGTAAACTACAATACAGAAACCACGCTGACTAATGCCCCATACTTCAGTTCACTCCATCTTTGAGAGTCCTCAGGGAACGATGTTCACAAGACATTTAATTTCCTTCTCTTTCCTCTGCCTTGTTAAACTCTCAGTAAATTCCCCTTATTTGATCCAACTGAAAAGTCCTTGCAACCACCTTGCTATTTTACGAAATAGCTTCTGCTTTCTTAAACCTTGACGGCCTCTTCTATCTTGAGAACAACCCTTAGTCCCAGCCAGACAGGTTCTCCCCTGATAAGCTAATTTTGCTAGAAGTCAGCATTTTCCCTAAAGCGATGTTGTTGTAATAGAGATCCTTCCACCCTTCTCCTCGACACAGAAGCCGAGCCTGGCGAGAACAGCCAACAGAATTTACAGCACATTGCAAACCAGTTTGCCTCTTGACAAAGCCTACACAGAAAGTATGATGTTCATTTTCATAAAGAATTCATAAACAACACGTTGATTCCCCAGCTAGGGCCTTTCAATTATATATCCAAGCATGAAATTCCTACACTGTTAATCTGACAAATACTGAACCAAAAAATATCAAGAATTAGCCTCAGTTATATATAGTCTTCTTAGGATAATGTCTGGCATACAGCAGTGCATCCTCTTTCAGCAGTCCCCTCAGTAAGTTATTCAATGTGCTGGCTACAATGCACATGCAGTGGTCCTGCTCCAATTCTCTGCCGCGGCCTTTTCTCATGCGACTTTGGTGTGTTTCCCATATGTGTGTGCATGCTATTTAAGGCATAGCTATGCTTCTGAATACACATATATGCACACATACAAATAGATACGCATTTTTATATTCATATATGTAAAAAGGGATCTGCAAAATAATCAATTTTAAGTAAAAATATATCAACTGTAGAAATGTTTCAGAGATAACAACCTCTAATTATTAATTCTTTACTACTATTAAAATGGTCATTTTGTTCACTTTTCTGTGCCACACGCCTTCCTAATTGATCCATTATGTGCTGATATTACTCTTTCAGTGAAAGTATTTTCTTTTCAAAGACTTGCAGACCATTCATGGGAAAACAAAGTAATCTGAGCAAAAGGCAGTGATTATACAGAAGTAAATGGCATTGATAGCAACAGGAAAAGTGTCTCAACATTACTGTTTTGAAACTGTATTCAGACTGTGCAAGAGAAGTAAAAAACTGCACAAAGCAGAACATAAAGGAAATAAGAGGCAGATGCTGATCTCGGGGGAGTTCTCCAGAAAATAAGCTCGTGAGCTCACTAACTGCCGTGAAATGTCTCTGAAATAGATTCTGTACTTTTCATCGCTTTCCACCACAAGACTAGCTAATTCTTTAGAATAAATTTGTTGAATTTAATCCCAAATGCAGAAAGCAAGTTATGAACAGTCTGGAATTCTTTACGATAATTACAACAGTTAAATATAAGCAGCAAAGTAAAGTAAACAGTTAAATATAAGCAAATGCTGACAGGCCACAAAATCTAGTTTTATAGTTTTTTAGACTTTGAGCTTTAGGGATAGTATTTAGATAAAGGTAATAGACTGATTATATACTGTACAAAGTATAAGGTTTCAAGGCTTGTGAATACTTTATACACATGAACTATGCTCTCTTTCTCCCTACCCCTCCAAGTTTCTAGATCATGTCTGTCTCTATGAGATACCTGAAATGTGAAATTTGCAGAATAAGGAACTAAGTTAAATTTATGTGAAATGTTCAGCTAATAATATGCATATTGAAAATTAATTTACCCTCTCTACATGGGGATGGCTCTTCTTTGCGCATTTTCTACTCTTGTTTCTATTTTACTAGTGGGAAGTTGCTCAGATGTTTACAGTAAAAACACTGTGATAAGCATTCCAGCTAAGGCAGCTGTTTAATGCTAGTTGACTGTTACACCGCTTTGTTTACTCATTTGTAGTGGAAACTTCAAAGCAATGGACTCCCAGTGGGAGTATCTTGATGACTTCATAGGTACTTTGCTTCTTGGATATTGAGAGAAATATTTCAGAGGTTTCTTAAAAAAAATAAATAAACAAATAAATCCTCCATCCTGAGTTTGAGATCATGATACTGCTTTCCAACATGATTTCCCTTCCTGTTCTAATCTAGAAAGACACAAAGCTAAGCCAGTGGCTTTTACATTACTCCTACCTTCAGTCTCAAGGTGCAGAGACCATGAAGTTGTTAAAGGTCAACTGTACGTTCAAGTTCCAGAGTCTCTGTGGACGTAAATCACCACAGGGACACTAAAGTCAATTTGACCTGAGATTGAGGAATGCATTAACATTTACAGGCTTAATTTCCCCCTTCTGATGTCCTTAGTAAAGCTAAATGAGTTTCCCCGTTCTCATCTGGAGAGCAAACCAAAATAGAGAAGTGGATCAACGACCGTAATTTTCACTACTATCCCCTTGAAGCAGAGAGCAAGACTTCAGGCCTGTATAGCAGAAGAGATTCTCCTGGCATGCCTCACATCCCCATGGTGCTTATGCAGTCTTAAACATATGTAGGCCAAACCAGTTTTCCTTAAAAAAAGTTTCCCTAAGTCTTCTATTGAGTATTTTCCCCCTTAACTTCAGGGTGGGTTCTGCGCCAAGAACAAAGCTGGGATGTTTCTAATTTTGTAATGTGCATGTACAAAACTATTGATTTTAAGCTTTCATAATTTTAAAATACTGCATTAATTGTCTTCAAACTGAGATTCTCTTAAGGCTCACTGAAGATTAACAAAGAAGTACAGTATGAAGTTTCTAATTTCAGGAACTTTCACATAGTTCTAGTTAGTTCATGTTGAAAATGTATTTTTATTACGCTTGCTTAGCTTAGGATACATTGAACAAATTTGCTCAATTTTAAAAATAATAAACTCTAGCCTAGGATTTAGAAGAGAATATTTTAAATAAAAAACAATCTG